AGAAACTCCGAAGTCACTGGCCCCCGTGCACTGCCGCCCATGGAGAGTGCGAACCAGGAGGAAAAGGAAAAAACCTCAAGGTCTGGGGAGACTGGAGATGAGGTGTCCGCGAAGACGCCAGAGCCCCAGTCCACATGGCCCGGCTCTGTGGCCTCAAGCAAGTGACACGAATCTTTCGTTAGAAATCGGATGTAAAAAAGCACGGTTTTCCCAGCCTAGGTTCCAAATTAACAAATAAGTCAAAGGCGATTTGTGTCAACTGTAAAGGCAAAGGTATGAGCCAATGGATAGGCCCAGGGCGTCCGTGGAAGCCCTGGAATTGCAGGCAAAGGGCTGGGGTTCTTCTCCAACCCCCAAAAAACGGTACGAAGCCCCCCACGCTGATCCAGCGGTGGGACTGCAGCCTTACGGCTCTGGCTCTCACCATCTGGGAGACCCCGCCATGCCTTAAGCCTCCCGTTTCCTCTTCTGTAAATGAGGTAATGGCTCCTAGGAGTGTTGTGGGGAGTGAAAATGCTTAGCAGGGTGTCTGGCGCTAGTCACCGCGAACCCGATGTCATTTTTACGCATTGGCCCCAGCGCTGCAGCGAAGACGCGCGCGTGGCTAGCCTTTCGGAGCTGCTGGCTGCCAAGACCGGGAACCCCCACGGGCCCTGGCGCCAGCGGGTGGGCCGCGGGGCCGCTGGCAGGTGGCACCCTCTCCGGCCTCTCCTCTGGGGAGCGCGGGGGGGCGCACAGGTCGCCTTTTGCTCCAGAGCGCGCGATGGATACGCTGCTGGGTCGCCGGGCGCAGTGGGGGGAGCCCACTTTGGGGAGCATCGCGATGGCTGGGCCGCCGCCCTTTGAAGGCAGCTCTCCCCCGCCGACCGCCAGGCGCCCGGGGCTCAGCCAAAATCCGGATTTGGGGGCCGCAGCACTAAACTGGCCGCCGCCACCGCCGGGGAGAATCAAAGCGGCCGCCACCCTGGGCGCTGCGGGTCTTGTTTACTTGTTGACGTGTGCGCACCCGAGCGGGACGACCTCGAGTTTGGAATCAGCCTTGAAAGGAGAGAAGTAGGGCCCTCCCCTGGGAGAGGCACCTCCAGCCTCCACCCCACCGGAGGCCCCGAGCTTCCTATCGCGGGCAGACACGTTTCCTTCCCTCCTGAGGTCAGAGGTCAGGCCCGGGAGAGGCCTGCTCCGTCTTCCCTGCAGGCCCACCCCGCGCGGTGGCCCGGAGCCCCGCTTCCAGCCGCGCCTCCTTCCCCCCGCCCCGCTCCCCATCCATTAGTGTAATCCCCTGTCCAAACACTGCGGCCGGGGCGGCCAGACGCTGGTGTAAACAGACCCAGGGGGACAATTCTAACGATATAAATAAAATAACCATTAATAGCGCAAATTATTCGATGGGCCAGAGGGAGGCCGAGCGCTCGGGGACCTCGGTTTCGCTCCGGTTTGTGTACACAGCGTGGACACCACGTATCCGGCAGGTAAACCGAAGGTTCTTGCGGGGCCAAAATGTAAACCCCGCGCAGGTGAGGTCCCCGCAGGCGCGTCACCAGGGACCCTGACGCGCGCGGGGCTTGGGATGGACGCACACGCCGCTGCCACCGCTGCTGGAGTTTACGCAATGGCCTCAGCCCAGCCCCAAACACAGCAGAACCTGAGTCAGGGGCTCTGCTCCAAAAAGGCGCGCACCTATGTGCCTCTGAGCGCACAGAGACCCAGAGCTCATACCCAGAAACGGGAAAAGTCAGCCTCCACTAGTCCCAGGGTTAACACTAGTAAATATTTGGTAGGTGGTTGTTGTGTCAGTCACCACACTCAGTGCTTCACAGAGGTCATCTTTAATCCTCAGAGCGACCTAGGAGGCAGGTACTTTTAGTATTGCCAGTTCTACAAATCGGAAAAGTAGGGCTCAGAGTGGAGGAATTCGCCCTGAGATGGAGTGGAGAGAGGATTTGAACCCATGACTCTGAACCAAGCAGCACACTGTGCACGCCCGAGGTGCAGGCACTTGCTCAGATTCCCACTGGTCTGGTTTCCAAGGTCTGGAGCCCGGTTTCCAGGAGTGGTGACCCACGGAGCTCCTAGTGCTAGACCTCTAGGTTCAGACACTGGGAACTGAACTTAGCTGGCTTGCTGTCTAGGGAAAGGTCTCCCTGAGGGCAGTGGCCTCAGAGTCCTGTTTCCTGGAATTGGCTGGCCCAGGACATTTTCTCCAGCCCACCCAGAAGGCGGAGGACATATAGCTCAAGTGCCTGGAAGTGCTGCATCCATCCATCCCTTACCTGCTTTATGACCTTGGACAAGTCATTTCACCTTGTGGGCCTCAACTTCCATGGCTCTTCTTTGAGAGGGGAAGAGCAATATCTGTCTCAGGGATGTAACCATCATGCAGGTGAGACGTTTTGTTCACCCATGGGAAGCTTATTATCATGATTGATTTTAACTCCATGGCAGGCACCTCAGAAGGCAGAACCTAGCGTGAGGCAGTACCCTCTTCTTTTTAAAGAGAAAGCTAAAAAGGATGCAGATGGGGAGAAAGGAAGCAGCTCTGAGCAAATGTCCTCAGTGAGTTGGAGGGCTCTCCAGGACTCCACCCCACCTCCCCGCAGTGTTTATCTTCAAGGAAGCATCCAGTCAAACCCATCACCTGGGCACATTCTAACATTCTTCTCCAGGGCTGTGGACTGCCACCTGGGCCCTGCAGGAAGGTTTACGGTGGGGGAGGGCTGCCGAGCTGGAATTTGCAAAAGCAGAGAGAACAGCTTCTGGGCAGATAGTCCCTGCGTGGCTGTGCAGGAAAGAGATGGGCGAAAAAATGAAGAATGCGGAACATAAGGAACTTAACCTTAGGCAAGTTATCTCACCTCTCTGAGCCTCAGTTTCCCCCTCTGCAAAATGCTTACATGAATAGGGCCATAGACGAGAGCTGTTTCAAGAAGCAGAAATAATAACAATGGTGGACACTTTGGGAGAGTTTACAACACTCCTGGCACTGTTCTCTGATCTTCATAGCCATAGTAGGGAGTTTCCCCCCCTCCCCCCCCCTCTCCCACTGAGGTCGCTTGCCAGCAGTCTGACAGTCCGTGGGAGTTGGGAGTGAGGAGGTTTTTACTCTGAGCCCATCCATGTGCTTGTAGGAAAGCTGTAAAATGTAGCTAATGTTATCTATGTGACCACTGCTGGTGGGAGTATTGTTGTTGTTGTTATCAGCAGTATTCTTCTATTGGAATTGCTGCTCACACCTCCCTGAGAGGTAGTCATCAATAACTGTTCTTTAAGGAAAAGGAAACAGGCTCAGAGAGGGAGAGTGACTTGCCTGAGTCATACAGTGGGCCTGGGACAGAGTGAAGAGATTAGAAGCCGTGCAAAGCCAGGAGCCAGACATTCTCACCCGCACCGGGAGCAAAAGGAGGAAAGGAAGAGTGTGGGGCATTGCACCAGGGCAGGGTGGGGAGAGGGACACCCACCGCTGGCAGGGGTAGGCCTGGGCAGCTGATTTATTTACATTCCAGTGTGTACACGAATTGGCCAGATCTTTATCTAAACATGATAACAATGACGCGAGACTTCGGGGATTTGTTTACTGCAGCTAAAAACGATGCATTTGTGGGAGCAGAAAGCTGGGTCAGGGTACAAGACTTGTTTGCTGCGGCTGTGTGTGGGGGGCAGAGGAGAGTGAAGAGGAGGTTCTCAGTGGTTCCAAGAGTATATGGTAAAACTCCAATGATTAAGAGAACTGGTCTTGTTTGGGTACCAAGTTTTTTTTTTTTTCTGAAAATTGATTGATGGTTAAATAATGCTTGGGTTTTTTCCTCCAAGTGAGAAAAAGAGGCACCTGGGAATCCTGCTCCCTGATCTCTGCTCAGAGGAGAGCAGTTCAGAGCCTTCCTCATGGTGCTTAATAACCACCCCTCAAACCCACCCTCAGGCCCCGCACAAGAGCATTTACTGCACGCCCTTCTGTGCAGAGGGTTCTATAAGCCCTTTCCTGCCATCATTTCTCTAATCCTTACTGCAGGCCCATAAAGTCTGCGCCATCATTATCTCCTTTTATAGGTGAGAAAGCTGCTGCTTCCTGAGGCTAAAAGACTGGCTCCGGGTCTACAGAGTGGCCCTGAGTTAATGCTGTGGCAGGAGGCAGGACGTGTGATTATAATTTAAAGAAAGCCACGTCTTCCCAGGCCCTCACCCCAAACCCGGCCACCTCACTCTGTGGGCTCTCCCTGCAGACGAGGGTGTGGCAGGTGCCAGCTCTTGCACACGCATGCTCCTGAGGTTTGTGTACATCTATTCACAGACATGCTTCCTGGTTGCTGATGGTAGGAAGTGTAAAACACTCATACGTGCCCACATCTGTGCTCACTCGGTATGTGGTGGGGGGAGGTGTATAGTACATGCACACACATACACACAGACCACCCTCCCTACTGTAGGAATGGGAGGAGGAGCATGTGGAGTTTTTAAAATAAATTGCAGAATCATTTCAATGTGGTTTTATTACTTTCAAGAACACACACAGTCATTACAGCGCTGTGTAATAAAAATCTATTCCCTCTTCTCTGACTGCAGCTTAGACAGGTCCTTATGGGGCCACTTTGGACAAGACTAATTGTAATGATCCTGTAAATTGCCTCAATGGGTAGAGTGCATCTGATACTCATGAAAGCTAGTTTTCATCTTGGATCGTATAAACACTTCTCTCTAAGTCTCATGTAACTACCAGTAATTCACTTTTTTGTGTGTGGGGGGGGGGGGAAAGGGGAGGGAGGGGCTTCAGAATAGGTGTTGGCCCAGCCCTCCAGTTTTGGCCACGCTCTCTGAAAAGAGCAGAGCCCCAGTGGGAGTGTATGTTTAAGGGCAGTCTTAAGTGCCTTCTTCCCATGCCTATCTGCATGTGCACTCTGATATGTTCACACAGGAAAGCAAGCACCTGTCTCTTCATTCAAGGAGAAAGTAAGTCCATAGAAACATACGTGCCAGGTCTGCGTGCATCTGTTGGAAACCCCTATTTATCAGAAGGTGACAATTGCCATCAACCTCAGACGTGTGGTTGCAGACAGGAGGTAAAGGAATAGAGCTTGGCGGGCAGCCCACTGTGTGGCTGGAGAGCCTGACTCACAGGGGAGAAGGCCAGCCTCTGTCTCCTCTCCGGAGGCCAGTGACTCAGTGTCCTCTCTGGCCACCTCCCCAGCAGCTAGGAAGAGGGAAGAGGTGATAGGTGGCCTGGGAACAGCTAGCGTGCTCAGTCCTTGTCCCCGCTGGCTGGTGTGAGAGCTGGGGACTTCACTCTCCTCTCCCAGATGTGGTCCCTGCATTTTAAGGCAGTCTGAGAAACCCTTCCCCAGTCGGAGCGATCTCAGGACTAATCAGCCCCCTCATGTACAGTGGGGCTGGCAGGCAAGAAAGAGAAGGCCGGTTCAATCTGCTCTTGCTTGAGTGTGTAGTGGAGGAAGGGCTGGCCCTGGCCGGGGAGCCCCCATCTGTGTCCTCAAGGGATGCCCAGGGCCCCGGGGTCCCCTCCAGCTCCTCTGGGATCCTCTGGGGACGGCCACAATAGAAGGAAGCGGAGGCTCCGCAGGATCCTCCCAGAGCGGGGATTTCCACAGGGAGGGTGGCCAAGTCTGCCACCTGGAGCCCCGCAGGTCGGTCAGGGTCCACAGCTGAGGCTGCTGGGGGTGGGGGGCCAGGGAGGGGGGAGAGGTCCCACAGGCCGAGCAAGGTGCAGAGGCGCGTCCCTGTCACACACCCAAGGTGCTTAGACTTTTTATGAGCAGCTCCCGACAGCGTAAGCCCTGGGGTGGGGTGGGGTGGGGGAGAGGGGAATAGGGAATAGGGCTGGGGTGTACTAGTGAGATCCCACCGTGCACAGCCCTCCGGTGCAAGGGAGGGGGGGGGTTCCCTCCATTCCAAACACCAGCCGGGCCCAGGGACAAAAAAGAAGAGAGCCTCAGAGTGGAAGAGTGAGAAAGGAGGGGGAAAGAATTACAGGAAGGTGGGAGAAGAGAGGCGGGAGTGAAAAGATAGACTGAAGAGTGTGAAAACAGGTGGGGAGGAACAGAGACCTGGTGAGAAAGGAGGTCAGGGAGAGGAGGAGGAAGGGAGTGAAGGAGAGGGAACTGGAGGGAGGTGGTGAGGAAAAGGAGGGAGTGAGGAGGAGATGAGGTGGGGGAACCTGAGACGGCCCCGTGAAAAAGAGGAAGGGGCCACAGGGGGAAGAGACTGGCTGAGAAGGGGAAGAAGAGGAGGCACAGCCTGAGGGACTGTTGGGGTCCGGGACAGCCCGAGGTTCTCCGGGGCCTCTCAGTACTGGGAGCCATCAAAGGTAGGGTCTTTCTGCCAAGCAGGCGCGAGTCGGGAGAGGCGGGGTGGAGTTGGAGAACCTTCAGGCAAGTTCTTGGACAGAAGTCTGACCATCTTCTTGGGCTCCTTGTTCTCGGAGGCAGCGGGAGAGAGACGCGCCTGGAAAGGCCTTGGCACGGACCAAGTGCGTGGCTGAGGCTGACCTGAGCGGGATGAACCCTGGCAACCACAGTCCTGCAGCCCCAAGGCCCCAATCCTTGATCTCCGACCTGACACCAAGGCATATCTGCGCGATGTGGAGGCTCCCAGCGCTGGCCCAGCCCTGGCTCCCAGGTTTGTTCTGCCTTCTGCCCCAGCTTTGATCTTCCTAAGTCAGGTGCCTAACCTGTGCCAACCAAGACCAGCAATCCATAGCACCTCCCACCCCCAAAACACCCCCGCAGGATCAGGCGAGCCAAGGCGGTGGTCATTGCTGGGTGCTCTCCGGAGCTCCAGAGAATCCAGGGCAAATGGACGGAGGGGTCCCCAGACCCTGTGTTCGCCAAGGGACCAGCGAAGGTCCCGCTGCTGCACCTTGGGAACCACTCTTTCCCGTCGGGGACCGAAGGCCGGGACTTCCAGACTGAACGCTGCGACTGTGAGACAAGGTATTGTTGAAAGAGATAAGAATGCGGCATCCGTTTCTTTCCAAGTGCGAATGGGCCATTTCGTTCTCACACGCTTTGAAGTTATCTGCTCTAACGTGACTCTCGTGGAGATTGGAGAAAAGATTTCTAAGTCTGTCCGTGGCCCAAGTCCCTGAGCTTGCGGTGGAACGCAGACGGGGGTTGAGAAGATCCGCTGTGGAAAGAGTCACAAAGAATCTCTGCTTCTTGGGACTTGATGAGCACATTCCGCCGCCTCCCGCCCTCCCAGCTCGGGGATCCGCGGAGAGCCCGCAGAGAGCTCTGGTTTGCGTGAATTCTTTCCGCCAAAGGCTGCAGCTGCACTTCTGAAGTCAGACTCTATTTTAAAACGTCTCTAGACGTGGAAGTTTTGCTACAGGAAGTTAAACGCACACTAAAAAGAAGTTAAGGAATGCACCCAGAATTCCAATTTAATCCCCAAGTTAAAACTTCAACTACACTCCCAAATAGTACAAATAGAATGTCTGTGTGTAGGCATCCTTTATGTAGGCGTGTTTTTTGTTGTTTGTTTGAAAAAAGAAATGCATTAATTTTCATTCGGCAAAGTTAGCCTTTCTGACTATAGTGTGTCTTATTAGCAGAATAGAACTTGTTTTGGTGACAAAAGCTGTATTTACGTTATCATAAAATATTTTGGAGTGGACCTCTCCCCGAGAAATCGAAACTCACTTCCTCAGCGAGGGCCTGTAATTTACGAAGATTTACAGGATTACTGAACCTGGACTGCTTTTCTCATGGGGAAGGGAAGTGGTGGCTTAATTAGAAACCTCAATTCCAGACACAAAATGAAAAAATATGGCATCTATACAAACACATGCAAAACAAGCCAAAATGCTCAAAATGCCATTTCAAAATCGTTTACAAAATTACCAAAATGAGGGAAAATGTCCTCTGACAGAATTAGATCAGTTCGATGCTTTCTGGGACTGACCTTGATGTTTCTTGAAAAGTAGAAAATGTATTTAACCTTCTCAAAAAGCACTAGTGCCTCTAGATTGACCAAATTTTTTTTTAAAAAGCTTCCTAACATCCCTCCACTAAAAATCAAACCAAAATGCATGCACCCATACACACCAACAAAATAACAAAAACCTATTTAGCGCTGCTGCTAAAGAAGAAACTTTTTCCTTTTATTTATTTATTTATTTATTTATTTATTTAAGTATGAGCCATTAAAAATAAAAGTTTTAGGAGAGCGGTAAAAAAAAATTTTTATATTCTATGAAAAAAAAATTCTTCTGAAATGTTATCATGTCGTTTTGTCTAGCTGTGAGTTCATAACAGGACGGTTTTTTCATGCTTTAATAGAAAAATCCCTTCTGACTTTTGGTGCTACATTTAGATTAGAAAGCTGAAGTAACTTTCAACCTTTTTTGTGGATTTGGTTACAGAATTAACTGGTTATTTGAATAGTTCGAAGGTAACAACAAAAACAGTGGCATATATAACTAAAATGATCGATTGTCTGCCTATATTCATATGGATATTAATGAGACAATTTTTGTGTAGACAATAATAACTTATGGAAACACTTGAAAGTTTTTCAAAGAAGCATCACATTTTTATTTGAGAATATATTTATTGTGACGGTTAGCACATGACTTTTCTCCAAAAAAAAGGTATAATTTTATTTATCTCTTATGAGCCTATATAGCACTTTCCCCTCATAGAATTTGCAGACGTTTTACTGCGATCTTTAATCCCATATGGGAGGAAGGGGACTTGTATAACGTGACAGGCTTACACACATAGGCAGATACTATCCTACACTACACTCGATTAAAATAAAATCAAACGCTTCCATGGATGCAATGATATTTATTTTATCTGACAGTAATTAGCTAAACTGTCTGGAACAAAAAACCTATTATTAGTTGCGCACAGCCCTGGAATTGCAAAGATCCCCGTTTCAGACAAGAGCATGCAAATGCCAAAAAGACAATCGTAACTGGATACTCCTTGGAACCAGATTCCAAATTCTGATACGTGACTGGGGAGAGCCCGCGGTGGCTGTAAGGTAACTACTGCTCTGGGGTTTTCCTCCTGGGCAGGGGGGCACTCTCTCCAGGCTTGGGGAGGGCTGGCTGCAGGCTGGCACAAAAAGGCAGGCCACCTGTTTAGATGAGATTGGCCTGGTGAGGATCCCAGCTGAGGAATTCAACATCCAGGGAATCAGACCCACCAAAAGCAGGGGAGGGCAGCCAGAGATGACTGGAGCCCCCTGCCCCCGCCTCCAGTTCTCCTCCCCACCCCACCTCCGCCCTCGCGGCGGTAGATCAGCCCTGCGCAGGGCTGGGTAGGAGAAGAACAATGATGAACGGGACCGCCTGCTGAGCCCAGCACCTGGGCTCCCCGCTGCTCCGGATCCTCACCGGCCTTCAGCCCATTGACTCTGAACTCGTCCCCAGGCGGCCCGCTGAGGAGCAACACGGTCAGGGGGCACAGGAGATAACCCACTCGGGCCTGGTTCCAGGCTCTCCAAGTGGGCATTGGTGGCAGCGGATGGGGAGGGGAACGGACCGAGTGGCCTGCGGGTGGGGAGGAGACAGCCTTCCACGCGCTCAGGGAGGAGGCAGCCGGACTGACTCCAGACGGGGTGTGGGCATACCTTGCTGTTCCCCGTGTCCAGCCGCCGGCATCTAAGATGGGGAATCTTAGAGATGAACTTGGGGAAAGCTTGGCAGCGGAGTGCTGCCGCCGAGAAGCAAGAGAACGTAGAAGGGAAAATGCAGCCTTCGGTTGGAAATGAGAGAGAGAGAGAGAGAGAGAGAGAGAGAGAGAGAGAGAGAGAGAGAGAGGAGCTTTCGTCTTTTTCTTTTGTTTTCTAAATCTTGAAATCACATAAGGAAAGCACCCAGAGAAGCGTACAAAAATGAGGACCAGAGGGGAGCCAAACATCCCTCCAGAGACGTCCAGCCCTGGAGAAGGGGCGGAGGAGTGAAGCTGGAGCGCAGCTTCCCTCTCGGACCTTGGACATCGGGCCGGACACCGCACCGCACACACTCAGGGGCTCCCGGCCGGCAGCGCCGCGCACTCACCCCCACCTCCTTCTCCATCTCTGCGCCCCGGCATTCTCCATCTGCCACACCGCCGGGCGCATCCTGCTTTCAGCAGCACCACGGCCTGGTTTGGAGACGCCGGCCCGCCTGGGGCGTCAGTGGTCTGAGAATTCAAAGCTGGAAGGCATGGGGTGCCCCTGTAGCTGCGGAGCGGTCTTCCTGGCTCCAGGCCCTGCCCACAAAGCCCCCCCTCCCCCAGCCCACCGGCCACTGGCACCTAAGAACTCACTCCCCCGCGCACGTGGCCGCGCTGCCGCGTCCCAGCTCCCCGAGCTCCCCAGCTCCCCAGGAGCTGACTCCCGCACCATTTCCGCTCCCTCTTGAACCGCCCCGCCTCTCCCCACCTCCCAGCCGGCTGTTCTTTCTCTCCCCAGTCTCGGACACCCACTCCTCGTGCTGTTGTAGGGGAATGGGGAGAGGAGAGGGGGGGGGGGGATATGGCAGCTCTCCACCCTCAACCCCACTCCCATCCCATGCCTGCCACCGCTCAGGGACTTTGTCCGCGGTCCCTGCGCGGTCCACCCCGCTCCTTCCAGCTGAGGCCGGTCTCCCCCATTTCCACCATCTCGACTGCCAAAAATAAAAATAGAAATGCTTGGGGCAGCTAAGGCCGGAGGGAGCATCAAGGTTGGACGGGAACAGATCTCTGTTCTTTCAAGGCCAGCGCTATGCAGGGTCTTTCTGCGCCCCGTTTCTCATTGGGCTGGGAGGCAGGGCGGGCAGGCGAGCGCCTTTTAATGCGGGAAGATGATCTCTGCCAGCGCGGATTCTCCTGTATCTCAGGAGACCCCACAGATGCGCCTAGAATGCACGAAGGGGGCCGCACGAGGGCGCCAGAGGTGGGTGGGCTGGGAAAATTAGAGGCCTCCAAGGGTCAAGGTCTAGAAACTGGCCCCCAATTTCAATAGGCGGAGAAGACAGTCTCCATGGCGGGTTTTTGGTGTGTTGTTGTTTTTTTGTTTGTTTGTTTGTTTTTCACCTCCCTTCTGAGGACAGATTCTTCATCAAGACTGTATGAAGCCACCGCGTGCGAGGCACTCCAGCTTTGTCTCACCAGTGCAGTCAACAGACACTGTTTGACCTCTACACTGTTGCATAGCAGTAATTGACAATTATTTGAGCAATGAACATGTGTGGGGCCTTCCCCTGGCTCCTGGCATGTCTTGCCTCATTTATCCCTGGCAACAGCCCTGAAGAAGGTATTATTGTCTCCCTTTTGTAGACAAAGAAACTGAGGCTTAGAAACGCCCAAGGCCACACACTGACTAGGCTAGGATTCAAACAAAGAGTTGTGGGACAACCAAGTTCAGCAATAAGTCCATCGTACCGTCTCTCATCTACCTCTGAGCAGTGCAGGTGCTGCAGGACAAATACAAGGGCCAATGCAACCGGGACCCTTGGGGGGGGGGGGGATCATAGTCTAGCTGGGTGAAGCAAGCAGGCAATATAGCTGTAGATAGTACTAAGTGGGAAGTAATAAGTGGCCGAATGCCCTTTACTAGCACACGCTGCAGGTTCAGATTTGAGAGAGATGAGCTCTGGCTAGGTGACCAGCGGGCACGCTTTCTTGGAGGAGGTGGTATTTGAGCAGAGCCCTGGAGAACCGCTTTTGAGGCATGGAGACAAACGTGCGGAAGGCGTTCCAATGGGAGGAACAGCCTGAGCAAAGTCAATGAGGCGGGAAGGGACACGTCGCTCATCTATAGATATATAAACCATTCTGCCTCCTTGGAGGGGATCTAGTGCCCGGTTTTTATAGGCAAGGAAGCTCTCTTGCCCTGCAGCAGCTGGAAAAATCACGCTCCTGGGCCATCCAACCATCCTTCCTAGAGTTGGTTTTGCGGACAGAAAACCTCCCAGAACTGGAGCTGGCCGGGAAGGGGCGGCCAGAAGGGGCGGGAAGTGGTGCTCGGGCGCCCGATTGCGGTGCAGACTCGCCAGCAGCAGGGGCTCAGACTCGGAGACTCTGCACTAGTCCTTGGCTATTTCTGGTCGGGTCACTGCTCCCCTCGCAGGGGAAGTGGGGGCGTGGTCCGCGAGCGCCGGGACCAATGGGAACGGAGGCTGAGGCGAGAGCCCCGCCCCCAACATGACGCACGGACCTCAGACCCAGGCTTCACCACCGCGGGCCCAGACCCTGCGGTGGCCGTAACAAAACCCAGACTTCCCAGGTCCTGGCCAATGATGGAGCCGATTTAGACTGGAGCAGGACCGCGTCTGTCAAAAGCCCCACTCGGCGGCAGCGGTGGAGTTCAGGATCTGGAGAGCTGGGGCAGCGCTGCGCTGCCTCCCCGCCCCCGCCGGGATTTATTGAGTATTTGGGCTGGGAAATTAAGTGGCCCTGATGATGTTACCAAGCCCGGTCACTTCCACCCCTTTTTCAGTCAAAGACATTTTGAATCTGGAGCAGCAGCAGCAGCACTTCCACGGCGCTCACTTGCAAGCGGACCTGGACCACCACTTCCACGCAGCGCCCTGCATGCTGGCCACAGCCGACGGGACGCAATTCTCTGACGGAGGGGAGGAAGACGAGGAGGAAGAAGGGGAGAAGCTGTCCTATTTGAACTCACTGGCCACGGCCGACGGCCACGGGGATTCTGGGCTCTGTCCGCAGGGCTATGTCCACGCAGTCCTGCGAGACTCGTGCAGCGGGCCGAAGGAACACGAAGAGGAGTCCGAGATCGTGAGGGACCGGAGCCAAAGTGAGTAGAGGGGGGGAGGGGGGAAGGAAATGCACCCGCACATCTGGAGCAATGGCGGAGCGCCCCCCAAAACCTGCCAGCATGGTGGTTGTCTGCCCCTTTAGCCCTTGGCTGGGGTCCTGCCTCGCCCCGGGCCAAGACAACTCCGCCAAAAGTGGAGGGAGAAGGACCGGGTGACCCTGACAACGTCTCCTCCCAGGGAGGGGTCCATGCAGCCCCTTAGGGAAGGGAAGGAAAGTCGGGATTGCTGCCCTCCTGCAGAGGAGCAATAGGGGCTCAGCCGCTGAGTCCCGGCAAACTCTCTGTATTTCCGCTCTTTCCAAGAGCTAAAGGGGCAAGAGCTTGAATCTTTTCCGTGTTCCCTCTAGCATGAGGCTAGATCTCTGATGCCAGAGCAGTGGTCCCTCTTTTCAGAAAAAAATTTTTTTTTTAAATAATAATGAGGTTCTGTCCAGCATCCACCGGGCACAGGAAGTTTGCTAGAGACCAGCTGAGTGATTTCCTCATCTTTCCTTGGAGCTCAGCATCCTCGAACCCGCAGCACCCGGCAGAGAGGAGAGATTGCGTGGGAACACAGTGTGTCCCGCAGACCACTCACACCCCTGAGGCGCCAGCCTTTTTTTTTTTTTTTTTTTTTTTAAGAATTCTTAACGTTTTGCTTTGTGTCCCAGGCAGTGCTGCTTCCGGCCGAAGGAAAACCGCGCCAGACTTAGTCTAAGATCCCGGCGCTCCCATCGGAGGGGAGGTGACTTGGGTGGGGAAATCAGATAACTGAATAAAACCTCCAAGGAAGTGTTGGTTTCGGAGGGGACACAGTGGATTCTCTCCCCTCCCCCCCAATAAGGAAATTTGATCTGGCCAAAGCCAAGGCCTACCCTCCCTCTGACAGCTCCCCAGGGCCTAACATCGACTTGAAACTGTCGATATGAGTCAAATTTCCTTTCTCTCTCTAAGGTAGCACAGACAGCGTCACAGGGACATTTAGCCCCGAGCACAAATTAGTCCCTGGGCAACGCATGAGCGTTTGCACTTCCTTCAGAAAGATGTCCGTGCTGCTCTCGCATACCGGCTCCCAAATGCCAACACGCCCCACACCTTCAACGACCCGTGACGGAGTGGAAGGCAAACGAGTTTGCAAACACGGTAGTTGTTATGTCGTTGCAATCTTGCGTCCTGAAAATAGTCATTAGCGCGCTGAGCCGCGCACATGTAATTCAGGGTAATCTCCTCTGTCGCAGATGCTCAAGTTCTAAATAAATGCGCACTAACTGTCACTATCTTCCCACCGCCCTGGAACGTGCCTCAGGGGCGTTCTAACTGTACTTGGACGGAGCCGCAAGCTTCCCAAAAACTCTATAGACATTTACAGCCGCATTCTGTGCGCAGCTACCAAGAAGAAGGCCGCGGTGCTCCGGGGTCGGAGCCGCGGCGAGGTCCGGCACATCGATAAGGGCCGCTGACGCTTTGCTTCTTCCGCAGAGAGCTGCCCGCTGAAGAAGCCCCTGGAGGCGGCGGCGGGGGACTGTAAGGCGGCCGAGGACGGCGAGAGGCCGAAGCCGCGCAGCCGCCGGAAGCCGCGGGTGCTCTTCTCGCAGGCGCAGGTCTTCGAGCTGGAGCGCCGGTTCAAGCAGCAGCGGTACCTGTCGGCGCCGGAGCGCGAGCACCTGGCCAGCAGCCTGAAGCTCACGTCCACGCAGGTGAAGATCTGGTTCCAGAACCGCAGGTACAAGTGCAAGAGGCAGCGGCAGGACAAGTCCCTGGAACTGGGCGCGCACACGGCCCCGCCGCCGCCGCCGCCGCGCCGCGTGGCCGTGCCGGTGCTGGTGCGGGACGGCAAGCCGTGCGTGGCGCCCGGCGCCCCGGCCTACGGCGCGCCCTACGGCGTGAGCGCGGGCGCCTACTCCTACAACGGCTTCCCCGCCTACGGCTACGGGAACTCGGCCGCGGCCGCCGCCGCCGCCGCTGCCGCCGCCGCCGCCGCCGCCGCGGCCTACAGCGGGAGCTACGGCTGCGTGTACCCGGCGGGCAGCGGCGGCGGCGGCGGCGGCGGCGGCGGAGGGGGCGGCGGGGCCCCGGCGGCGACCGCGGGGCTGCAGCCCGCCTGCAGCGCGGCCGGCGGCGGCCCCTTTGTGAACGTGAGCAGCCTGGGCGGCTTCGGCGGCGGCGGCGGCGGCGGCGGCGGGGCGCAGCCGTTGCATCAGGGCGCGGCGGCCGGGGCGGCTTGCGCGCAGGGCACCTTGCAGGGCATCCGGGCCTGGTAGGGTCACGGCGGCGGCGGGCGCCCCACCACAGCCTGGCGCCACGGAACTGAGTGCGAGGAAGGCTGGATCCAAGGGCCAACTGCCCTTGTTAAAAAAACAAAAACAAAAAACAAAACCCGTCTCACTCTCTGGAGAGCCCCGAGCGCAGCTCACAGAAGGCCCGAGGAAGGGGCCCAGGGCCGGTGCGGAGACTTGTCTCCGAGGCAGAGAGGCCGGTGGGGTGCCGGGGAGGATCCTGGCCCCGACCTGGCCCCGATCGGAGTGCGAGAGGCCGGGAACCTGGCTGCCTGCCGCTCGGTTCTCCTGGAGCGAGAAGGCGGCTCTCCCTTGGCCTCCCCGAGGCCTCTTCAAAGCGCTGGCGGAGAACCCAAAGACACACACACACACACACACACACACACACACACACACAATAGCATGAAGGAGAGAAGAAGAAAAAATGGGCGTCGTGGCTTGAGAAATCCCCAAGCCCCGCGGACCTTGAGACCCCTCAGCGGGCCCGGAACGCCACACTCCACTCCATTTCCCTTTTTCCAGCCGCCTGCCCGCCCTCCGCAGCAGCTGAGTCCTCGGCCTGGATCTCCGGATTGTCGGGGGTGGGTAGAACTCTTCGAGAAAAGAAAAACAGCGAAGTGAGATTGAAAAAAAAAAAAAATCTGGGGGCTGAACAAATCCGGGACCTGGTGTGGCCCATGGAAGAAGGTGTTACCGGGTTCCTTTCTGTTTCGTTATTCTGTATTCAGCACATATAATATATATATATAAATATAACTATATCCACATGCCATGTACACACCCGCTGCCATACACTACAGGAGTCAATAAACAAGGTGCAATATTTCCAAACCATTCACCGGCTGCAGAGTTTGCTTAGCGCCCCGCTTACCCCCCACACCCCAATGGGGAGGGATCCTACTAACGGGGTGGGCCGGGGCAGACCAGGTGAGCGAGGGAAAGCCGTGTTCCTGGGAAGGCCCATAGCTGCCTGTTCCGGCCTGCGCCCGCCCGTCTCCAGGCTGCAGGTCTGGGCTCCTCGTCGTGTCTTTGTTCATCCATTTCTTTCTACTCTCGTGGCGAGAAGAGAATAGGTCGGAGCATCGTGGCCTTGTGAGGTCCGGGGCTTTGTCATCCCCTCCACCACCCACCCCCAGTTTTTACCCAGATGTTTGGGCTAGTGCCCGAGTCTGCTTTAGATTCAGGCTTAAGAGACTATGCCCCACCTGGAGGGTCGCCAGCGGGGGGGGAAAGGGAACGACACCCCCTCCACCCCCAGGCCCAGCCTTGAGCAGCGCGGAGGTGGCTCCTTTGGCCGCCGCCGGCGGGCTTACCACGCGGCCCGGGAGCGCCGCGCCCCTCGGCCGCCCTCCCCGCTCCCCCGGCGGCCGCGGCGGCTCCAGGCGCTCCCTGTCCCTGTCCCTGCGGAGAGAATGCCTGCGCGCGGGGTCCGCGCTGCCGCCCGGCCCGATTGTGAGCGTGCCAAGGCGGGTGAATGGGGAGGCCTCAGAGCGCCGCGCCATTGTGGGGCCTGGGCCCCGGCTGAAAGGCGGCCCCGGGCCGGGAAGGTGCGGAAAGAATGGCTTTTTTATTGGAGCCCCGAACAAAAGGTGTGGTAGGAAGGCGAGGTGCCCCCTGCGCGAACAAAAAACCCCGGCGCCGGGATTGACGTCCCCCCCTCCCCAGCGCCCCACTGCTTCCCAGAGCGGGGGCTTTGTGCATGCAGCCTGCGCCGCGGAGCGGCGGAGAAATGCGCGGGGGGTTTTGTTCCCCACTTTTGTGCGCTGGGGGAGGGGCGGCGTGGGGGGCGGGGGGCGGCGGGGCGGGCAGCGGGAGCCGGCGGCCTGAATGCTGGGTCATTATTGCTACAAGTTTAGCAATTTCGTCCTTACTGGAGGGGGGCGGGGGCCGCCGTGCTAGGGCGCGGCAAAGACCGCGGAGAGAAAGAAGGAGGAGGAGGAGGAAAAAAATAAATATAAAAAGGTGGGGAGATGGAAAGGGGCGGCAGGCGAGGGAATCCTCCCAAACCCGCCGCTGACCGCCCAGGAGGAAGCTTGGAGGCAACCATCAGGGCCGAGCGGGAGGCTGGAGAGGCGGTACCTGGGGAGCGAAGACCCTCCCTCCCTCCCGCGCTGTGCCGGAGGCCCAAAGACCCTGGGACGCAGCGGGAGTTACTGCACCAGACTGCCTGCCGGTCACGCAGCTCAGCTCCCAGCGGCCAGTTCCCTGATTTCTGAAAGGCGGTGCTGGAGCTGGGACACCGCCTCCCACCACCACGAGGCCCCAAGTCTCTTTCCGAGAAGCCCTCTCTTCTGGAGCTGTTCTCTTTCATGAGTTGCTTAGGAGGGAATTGTTGCTTCCGAACACATTTCTCACGGCCTGCAGCTGAAAAGGACTCATCTATCCATCCATCCATTCATCCCACAGCATTCACTGAGCATTTACTATTTAAATATGTTCACTAGCACCGTTCTGGATGCTGAGGACAGTGAGAGAGAGAGAAAGGTGTCTGGAGGCTTATAGAGTTTATTTTCAGGGGCTTGTGTCAGGGAGGTAGACGACAACAACAAAAAATGTAAAAATTGTAGATACGCTCTAAAAAGGAACTAGAACCAAGTGCTGGAGAGAGGGTTCTTTCGGAGTAAGCGGTCGAGGAAGCCTTTTAAGCAGACGCCTGGATGGCAAGAAGGAAGCCCATCCAAGCTGTGCTTTGCTGCTGCAGCCTCCATGCCTCCGCCATTCTGAAGCGGCCCTGCTCCATGTGGAATGCCCTGCGCCCCATCTGCCTGATGAGCTTCTGCTTCTCCTTCAAGGCCAGGGTTCTTTTCCTGAACCACCCAAGTGGAGGTAATCACTCCCTCCGATGTGCCACCAGAGTCTTAGGTACTTTCCAATATCGCAACAACAGCTTTATTTGTCTCCCTCCCAACCCGTGAGTTCCCGGTGAGGTGTGGAGGGGCAGGCTGGCATCTTTTTCCTTTGGGACGGATAGCACAGTAGGAGATCATGGGGCCAGGCTCCTTTAGGGCCACCTCCCCTGGTGCTTCAGGGCCATGAGGGTAGCTTCCTCGGGGTAGAGCTGTGGGCATTGGGTGCTGGCTGCCAGGGAGAAGTGGGGCGGACTCTTCGCTCCCTTGGGCAGAGCCAGAGCAGCTGAAATCTCGGTAGAAGACACGCAATCCAACCAATGGCAGAGGAAGATCCTTCCTTCACTATCCGCCCCCTCCCCCATGCCGCCTGGGGACACGGCTTCTCTAGGAGGTTGTTGTCCTTTGCTCTACAGCTTAGAACCTGATAATGACCTTGACACCAGATCACAAACATTAGGTGATGGGGAGGAGTTTGGAATAAGAAAGGAGGGTGGGGACAGCAAAGGGGGTGGAGAGCTGGGATGTATAGGATAAAGCCCTGTTTGACTTCCCCTTCATTCCCCAGGCGAGGAGTATGGTAGGCGATGAAGATGATGCCTGCACACGGGGCATCGTCTTCTAAGGTGGGATTGCAATGCCCGCACGCCAGCTCTGAGAGCAGACGCCCGCGTTCCGATGGGCGTTTCCTAAGTAAGCAACTTTCCCCCCAACCCAGTCCCTATTCTGCTGGCCGAGGCCTCTCAGGGCTCCCAGCCCCAGATGCCCACCTTCCTTGTCTTGTTTCCTTCTTGCCCATGTTTATTTCCCTTCATTTTGTGTCGCCTCCTGTTCTGGAAAAGAAGGTGTGTGGCCCTCACGGAGGAAACAGAGCCGTTCTGTGGGTTGGCTTCCCTGCAGTTTGCATGTCTTAAAGCCAGCCTGGACCAGCCCTTCCCCACTGGATGCTCCTCCCCGGAGACTGAGTCTCCGAGTATCAGTAGCTCCCCGTCTCTTTGCCCAAAAGACCTCTGTACTCTCCTTGCTGGGGTCCCAGGGCCCTGGCCTTTGGAGGGCGAGAACCCTTGACCAATACAGCTTCTCCTCCCTTAAGCTCCCTCTGCACGGGAAAGACTCTCCCAGGCCCAAAGTGCTGCTTCCCTGGATTGTCCTGTAAGCCAGGGTGAATTGCAAAACCCAGCAGGCCTTCTAATGAGCCGTGAGATTTTGAACAAGCAAAGTAAATCGTCCCTTTGGGCTCTGGTTTCCGACTCTCTGATAGAGAAAAGGATGGATGATATGATTCCAGAGATTACTTTTGGTTCAGGCCTTTCTTGCTTCCCTGAATGGGTGGTTAATCCCTCCCCACCCAGTGACTGGTGCCACACCAAGGTTAAGAACTGAATCGGAGCCGCCACGGGTAGAGGAGGTGGCATAGATTCTAGAAGCCCAGCTTTAAAAAAAAAAAAAATGTTTCCTTCAGAGCCCAATCTCGAGGGGTTAAGAGGCTGGACTCTGGAAACAAGCCAGTCAATGAAAGAGAGACACCACATGACCTCTCTTATTTATGGATGATAAAGAACATTATAAACTGAAGAACCAAAAGATAGATATAGAGACAGTAAAGCTACAAGCAGACTGTCAAATTACAGCGGGGAGGTTGGGAGATCTGGGGGAGATAAGAGATCAACCGAAGGACTTGCATACATGCATATAAGTACAACCAATGGACACAAAACTCTGGGGAGGGGGGGCATTGGTATATGTACAAAAATAATAATTTAATAAAAATATATATTATTTAAAAAAAGAGGCTGGACTCTGGGGTGAGGCTGCCTCCATTCTAACCTCAGCATCACCACAAACAGCGGCAGAGACCTTGGTAAGGTAGGAGTATCCAAACCTCAGTTTCCTCCTCTATAAAATGGGTATGCTCATAGCACCTCTCTCATAAATTTTTTTTTAAACTACAGAAAAATACACACATTCTAAGCATACATCTCAATGAATGCTTCCATAAGTAAACGCTCGT